CCTATTTATTATGTATTGCTTGAGAAAGGATACATATTTAGGTGGTTGTTAAACAACGTCACTCCTAACGTATGTGAGAAATCAATACAGCGGGTTTAAAGGCAGGTTTAGAAATAACAAAGCCTTGACGTGGTCATAATGAGCGGTTAGATAAAGCCAACAAGCGTAGTTCGAGAGAATATGTCTAGTAAATTGTTGTAGTTGCTCGAGAGAGAATTACGGAACCTAAAGTGCTCACGATTAGTAGAGAATACATTGGCAAAATTGTAGGGAACATAGCTAGAAGGATTCCGACAATTGGGGAAATCATATCTCTAGATCTCCTTAATTTAGTCTCTAACCCTTTGTCTCGTTAGTTGATAATTTTACCGCTTTATAGTATTGCTATTTAATTAGTTAGAAATATAAATCTCAATCTTTATAATTTAGAAAATTGTTCAATCTTGTCTTCTTAGTGATATTAAACAGATACAGCTAAGCCTTAGTTCTCTGTGGGATTCGACTCCTGACTTTTAGACCGGATTATATTTGCAGCGACCGCTTATCCTTTTTAGGACTAGAGTTGGGTGTGATCAGGTCCCGGGGGCCTCGGGTGGATTCCGGATGGTTAACGGATCAAATTTGAAGTAGAGGAAGAGCTGAAGCAGCTGGGTTTCTGGTGTAATCGCACCTGCGAGAAGAAGGCCGCAGGTGCGGTCCCGCAAGTGCGGCTTTTTGGTCGCCGAAGTGCATTTGGGCAGAGATGGGAGGAACCGCAGATGCGAGGGTATTTCCATATCTGCAAGCCCTCAGGTGCGTGGTAAGCGCCGCAGATGCGGAACGCGTGAGGGGCAACTGGGTCGCAGGAGCGGAAGGGCACGCCCAAGTGCGAAGGCGCAGATGCGCTTGAGGGACTGCAGAAGCGGATTTCGCCCAGCTTGAAGAGGACCACACCTGTGATGCATTTTCGCAGGTGCGGTGCCGCAGGTACGGCTGGTGCACCGCAGGTGCGGAAAGGCTGGAGGCAGTGTGTTCTTTTAAAATCGGGAATTGGTCATTTTTCTCCCATTTTCATTTGGTGTGGACGATTTTGGAGAGCTTCAAGGGGAAATGTTCTTCAAGTATCTCAAGGTAAGTTGTTCCCACTCATTACAAGTTAAATACATGATTTAGATATGGATTTGAACATGGAAATTAGTGGAAAACTTGGGGTTTTGGTCTAGAATTTGTATTTTTGGATTTTGACCACGATTTTGGATATGAAATTGAGAGTAAATTATATATTTGAGTTTGTGAGGTTATGGGTAAACTTTATCTTCGAAAAATTTCAGAATCCGGGCACGTGGGCCCGAAGGCGTTTTTGTCAACTTTTTGATTGGGGTTAGGAATTGTTATAAATTGGATCATTAGGAGTAGTTGAGCATATATTAATGGATTTGCATAATTATTGGCTAGTTTTGGAGCATTGTGCATCGATTTGAGTCTTCGGAAGGGCGTGGAATGCTGGTTATGGAACTTCGGAGCGAGGTGAGTCTCCTTTCTAACCTTGTAAGAGGGAATTGTCCCCATAGGTGAATTAATTGAATATCTGATGTTAATTGTGGGGGCTACGTACGCACGAGGTGACGAGAGTCCGTGCGTAGCTACTATTATGCTTAAGTCCGGGTAGTCTAGGACCCAATAGCATGCTTTACTTGCAATAATTGAAATATTGTTGTCAATTTAAAAATGCTTAAAACATATTGAACGTGTATAATGGTTTTCTAAAAGACTGGACATCGTTTCTCGATTTTTAAAAGAGAAATTGTTTTTCCTTGAATAATTGCTCCCTGATGAACTCTTGATTGACTGTTTGTTGTGTTTATTTATATTTGACCGCGTCGCACGTATGATCCGCGAGCGGGATAATAGATGCATCTATGGTTCGCGCCATTCGACCCTCTGGCAGTGCACAGTTTAAATATTGTTGGATCGGACCGTACGTCCTCGGCATGATTTGCGCATGCTTGTATTGCTTGCCTTGAAATTTATTGATGTGATATCGTTTCTTCCCGGCTTGAGAGTATATGTATAAATGGTGAAAAGGAATTTGGAAATTTCCCATAAAAGAAAGAATTGTTTACTTGCTTCATTCTATTGAATTACAATCATGTTTATAAAAATTCTCGATTTCTTATATTATTGACGTATCATTACTGGACCACTAGTAAGTGTCGAAGTCGACCTCTCGTCTCTACTTCTTCGAGATTAGACGAAATACTTACTGAGTACACGTTATTTTCGTACTCATGCTACACTTGTTGTGCATTTTTGTTGCACATGCACATGTATTTCTAGTGGCTTACTGGGCGTAGCAGCATGGATGTTACTAGGACTAGGTGAGATGCATTTCTCGAGGCGACCCGCAGCCAGCATAGTCTCTTTCACCGTGTTGTATTTACTATCTGTCCAATTTGTATTCCGGACAGTTATTGCACTTTATTCGATTCCTTAGTAATTGCTCATGCACTTGTGACACCGGGTTCTGGGATGTCTATGGGATTAGTCAGTATTTTGAAATTGTTAAAGATATCATTAATTTATTCAGTGAAATTTATTCCTTATTGTTTAAATGTATAAAGGAAGTGCATTTTGAAATATCTAAAACGAGAAGTTACTAGTTATTTAGTGTTGGCTTGCCTGACAATGGTGTCCGGCACCATCACGACCCTTAGTGAATTTTGGGTCGTGACAAATGAGATCGAATTTTTCAACTGAAAATCGAAGAACATAGTTACCCAACTGTATACCACTACGGTATATAATATACTGTAGGAGTATATAGTTATACTGCAACCATATACTGTTATAGTATACAATATACTGCAATGGTATACTGTAATAATCGAAGAAGAACTTAGTTATCTAACATACTGTTACAGTATACAATATACTATAAGAGTATATAGCTATACGACAATAGTATACTGTTATAGTATACACATTCAGTAATGGTATATTGTAATAATATGCAATATACTGCAATAGTATGTTGTAATAATATATAATATACCATAATAGTATACCATTTTAATGTAATAATATAATGAGGAATGAAGAACACAAGATATCATTTTGATATATTGTATGTTATTTTGGAATGTAATATATATTTCAATAGCAATAATATAATTTTATAGTATATAATATAATATAACAATATAATTTTATAATTGAGTCAATTTTTAATTTTTTAAAGTTTTAGACCGGATCCTTTTTAAATATTTTCATAAAGTTCTTATGCTTTTTATAAAAAAAATTTCTTAAAAGACGTGTTTGATGAAATTCCATGGAGATATTATTCACTGTATTAAAAGTAGATGTACAAATAGACATAAAGTAGTATTATGCCTATTTGGTATATTTATATACTATTGTGCAATATATTTTACAATAATGTTAGAAACTAATATGTGAGACAGTCATCTATGACACCCTGTCAGTATATGATATATACCACGTTGGTATCATAGAGTATTGAGTATTTTTCTAGAAGTAATGAACTAGACCTCTATGTACCCTGATGTATATAATATTATACCATATGATTATCATAGAGTATTGAGTGTGTTTCTATAAGGAATGAACCATACCTCTATAATACTGTATTAGCATATGATATATATACTATATGGGTATCATAGAGGACTGATGAGTTTTTTTGTTAAAGAACCGAACCAATCCTCTACGTACCCTATCAGTATATAATATTTACCATATAGATATCATAGTATTCTACAGCATAATACTTCAAGTACTACTAATTTTTTTGGTATACTATGTGCTAGAATAAGTTATTTTCTAATAATTAATCTATAAAAATAAAAATAAATAAAAATATATACCATATCGGTTATTTTTCAATATAGTGAAAAAAGAAAGAGAGAAAAATATAAAAAAATAAAAATAAAGAAGCAAGAACATGTACAAAATTAGATTATGGAAAATATAGGAAATAAAGAAAAAATGATTTGAAAATAATAATAAATAAATAAAACTAGAAAATTAGAAAAAATGAAAGGAAAAAAGAGAGCAGAGAAAACGGCTATAAGGTATAAGTTGTTCTAGTAACAGATTTAGAGAAGAAAAAAATAAGAAAAAATGATAAAATATGTCTGTTATATTAAAAAAGTTAACGAATATTTACTATATCAATTATCTTAATTATCGTATAAAAAAAAAGAATAAAGAAAAGGAGCAAAGAATGTGAATAAAACTTTAGGGCACCGGAGATAGTGTTTCTCAATTGTCGATCGACGTGACAATCATGCCTGCTGAAAAATATAGAAGACAAAAAAAGTTAATTGAAAATTGAAAAGGAATTAAAAAATAAAGAAAATGAACAGAAGGAAGAAAAAAGAGGAAAAATAGTATAAAAAAATGAGGAAAAATGAGTATGAAATCAGAATATTGTAAAAAACTAATATAATTGGAAAAAAATAAATAAAAAGAAAAGGAGAAAAAAAAGTAAAATATAGAGAATAAACGAGAAAAAGAGGTAATTACACACAAAGGTTATAATGGGTAGGAAGAGTAATTAGTTTAATTGGTAGAAAAGTTAATGGGTAGGTAAGTGTAAATAGTTTGGCTTTTATGGGTAAAGTTATAAAAACCCCTTTACTTAAATGACTCTGATTCTAAATTAATTGGGTTAGTGTACTTCAGACAAGAGATTGTTAAACCGAAAAAAGAAAAACAAAATTTGGGCTACATTAATTTTACTCTAAATTTTATATACATTAATCTGAAATTCTATTATAAGAGCATTTTTTATAAAAAAAGATGCAAAATTTTTGTTCAAATATTAAACTACTTATTAGTATAAAGTAACTAAACTTTTTAAATACTGACTAGGTTTTAAACAGTAGTCTTAAAATCGGCTATTTTTGCACTTCGCCAATCTTATGGCCCTTGGGCCCAAACACTTCTTGGGTCCATTCAACATTTCTCTCGGGTAAAAATATCAAAGGCAAACTGTAAACAGATAACGGAACAAGCGGCAATTCAAGTAATCTTAGTACTTGAGCTTCAGAGCTGATGAGCAGCCATGCCACTTCTTCTTCTTCCATGTAAGTCTTTCTCTATTCTCAATCCAATTCTGCCCCTCAACACTTCTGTTATTTACAACACTGCCACCCAATTCTCAGCCTTTTCCAGTCCCCCAAAATACCCACTTGCTAGAACCCCAAAATTTTCCAAGAATTTCTTTTCTAATTGGAATTCTCAAATAAGTTTACATACCCATGTCTCGTTTTGCTCTAAAAATGAAATCTTGGAAGAATTTAGTACTACCCAGTTGGCTAAAGTGCCTGAAAGTGAAGAGTCTGAAGAGCTAGAATTACTTAATAAGCCATATTTAAAGCAAGTAAATAATGGGGTTGGTACAGAGATAGAAGAGGAGCCTAAAAAAGTTAGTAAAGATGAAGTCTTGGAGCCATTTTACAAGTTATTTAAGCCTAGGGAGGAGTCATTTGAACAAGAAAGTAGTGATACAGAAGATACAGAACATGAGGAGCAAAAAGTTCATTCAGTTGAAGAAGAAAGTAAGAAGATTAGTGTGGAGTATTACGAACCGAAACCGGGTGATTTGGTAGTAGGTGTTGTGGTTTCAGGCAATGAGAATAAACTTGATGTGAATGTTGGTGCTGACCTTTTGGGTACCATGTTAACTAAGGATGTTTTGCCTTTGTATGACAAAGAGATGGGATATTTGTTGTGTGATTTGGAGAAGGATGCTGAGGAATTCTTGGTAAGAGGGAAAATGGGAATTGTGAGTTATGATGAGGCAGTAGAGAGTGGGGAATCGATGTCAGGGAAGCCTGTTGTGGAGCCTGGGACTGTTCTTTTTGCTGAGGTTCTTGGAAGAACTCTCAGTGGTAGGCCGTTATTGTCAACGAGAAGGCTCTTTAGACGCATTGCTTGGCATCGAGTGAGGCAGGTTCTTTTCTCACTTCCTTTATTTCATAATATGCAAAGTTTGAATTTTCATCTGTACGGAACCTGATGTTTTAACTAGTTCAATCAGTCGTCTAAACCTCTTAGCTTGATGTTTTACCTTATTAATGGAGCTATTAGAAACTTGTCAGAATCTGTACTTAAAGCTCAAAATTGGATCACCTTTTCCATTCTGAGCACGATTGTATTTTCAACTGTATTGATTGGTTGTATTTTGTTAAGGAAAAACAATTCAAATTGGTTGAGGTCGATTAAATGAATCTATTGCACTCTATTCAGCTCCATTGCATTCCTATAGTAAATAGAGCCTAAGGCTCTATAATGTGCTAATTGCTGCTGGCAAACACTTAATTTTGGCTCTAAACATATGCTATTTAAATATTATTCCTCTTAAGCAGATAAATGTCTTTGTCATATATTCTTCTAAATTTGGGATCTGGAATCAGCATATTGTTCCTATTCACCAATCGGCGACGCTTTTCCATTTTAGATTGTGAATTTGGAGAATATTTTTGGGTATGTCGTTTGAACATCTTGAGTAGCTCTGTCATTGACCTGTTTGCATGTTCAAGTTATACTGATAGATAATATAGCTCTAGGAGAAATGGTTCCAGTTATATTTGGTACAAACAAAGGGCTGGTGGAAGACCAGACATTAGGAGGGGCGATGAGAGAATATGGAAATTGAAGGATGAGTGAGCTCTGAGGGAAAACATAAAAAGACCTACTATTGCTAAGAATGAGTGAGGAAGTTCTGTATCATGATATACTGGATCAAATTTGATGCTACTACTTAGTTCTACGATATGTTTTTTTTTAAGTGTTTCTATTCTTGGTTTGTTTTATCCTAGAGTTTTTAGCCCAAGAACTTAGCATTTTTACTATTTTTATGCCACAGATTAAACAACTAAATGAACCTATCGAGGTGAAGATAACGGAGTGGAACACTGGCGGTCTTCTTACCAGAATAGAGGTAATCTAGCCACTCGTTGCCTCCATGAGTTCAGTGCAGGTCTACTTCTCTGTGTTAAACAGCTTGAATGTGGTTTTGCAGGGCTTACGGGCTTTTCTTCCAAAGGCTGATTTAATGAACAGAGTTAATAGTTATACCGAGCTGAAGGAGAATGTAAGTTGGAACCTTTTAGTGTTCACCGATCGTATATACATTTGATTGACCTCTGTATCTTTGGACTTCATCATACATATATTCTGCTGCATTTAAAACATTCAACATTATATCCCCTCTCTCAATATAACTACTTTATTAGAGTGCTGGGAGGCACTGGCTTTCTTAATAGCAAATCACGTTTATTATGTTGTAACAGTAGAATGTCGATATGTAGGAAGCACTGAGATTTTATCTGTTGTTGGCCACATTCTTCTAAGTTCAGTATGCATACCAAATGGTTAGTGGCACAGTGCTGCTTCTTTGGCATCTTTCCCAAAAATATAAAATTGTTATAAAAAGTAAAATAAAAGGAGAGTGCAAATTTTTGGTGGCCAGAATGTTTTTTGCACTATGTAAACATTTCGTGAAATCTCCTCATTCTGCATCTTCTGCTCCATTTGACTTGGATTGCTTTACATTTATGTCTGCTTATTATATCTATTTCTTGTTGTTTCAGGTGGGGCGTCGAATTAATGTGCTTATTACCAGAATAAACGAAGAAACTAATGACTTAATACTTAGTGAGAAGGAAGCTTGGGTTAGTTCTTTTCACCTTTGATACCTTTGTTTCTTGTGCATAATGATTTCATTGTTTGTGTTATTTATGAGATTTATCGCCTTTTTACATGGGGGTTCCTTGGTTCTGTTTGATTTTTCAAATTCTATCACGATTTTCCTCCTCCAATTATTTATTCTTGGAGAACCACTCTTGATTATTTTGTTTTCTTATTTTATTTCTCGAATCTTGGATTCTACAGCAAATGTTAAATCTGCAAGAGGGGGTCCTTGTGGAAGGAACAGTGAAAAAGCTTTTTCCCTTTGGCGCACAGATAAGGATTGGTGAAACAAACCGAAGGTAATTTACACTATACTTTCCAAAGAAAGAAGTCGGACTTAGCTGCGACTAATAGTGGCATGTAAAATTAAGAAACTTAACAATTCTGATCTAGGATAGCTCTGAATTTTGCTGTTGGAGCATTGGTGCAAATTGCAATCAACATTTCTTTTCTTGTTTTTTTGCACAAATAGGTAGATGCAATTGAATTGTTGTTCAGTATCATCTAGATATTGAATTGTTTCAAGGGAAAAGGTCCAAATACTGTGCATGCATACCTTGCAATTAGCAAACTGTCTCGTATTTAACTTTGCCATTAATGGTAACTCCAGTGTGAACGAGTCCAAATTTTTTGAGGAAAATGTCCAAATTTACCCCTCAATTTTTGAATGTGGTTTAAAATTACCTTCAAGTTGTACTTTTGCGCGATCAAGGGAAAAACTGATAACTTTTTCCAAACGGCGGGGTAATACTAGACCAAAAGTGTAACCTACATAAAAGAAGAAAAAAACCTAGACCAAAAGTTTAACCGAGGACAAAATTGCTCAGTTCCGGACAGTATAGGGGTAAATTTGACCCTTTCCTTTGTTTCGATTAAGGGAGAGTACTCATTCTATCTTGTTTGGTAATTTGAGTCTTATATGCACGTCATACTTTCAATTGATGGAGGTATGGAATTGGTTCTTAATGGTGAACTTGGAAAAAACCTTGTAGGAGAATATCTTCGAGGTTTGCTAGGCTTTCTGGTGATATTATCTGTGTCGTCTCTGATAAAAAAATTCGTGGATTACCATTTCTTTTATTGCAGATATGTACTTTTATTGGATTTCCTGTCTCTATTTCTGTAGTGCCTTTACAATGGAACTTTAGTTGCATGTGCATATTATGTTTAAGAAGCAGGAAAGTTGACAGGGAGTCTAGCTGTACAATTCAATTAAATATCATTTATGATTGTTGCCCGAATTCATTATGGTGTCATTCAGGTGTATTAATTCACGAGATATGTTTAGGGAGTTTGAGAGAGGAGATAAAATTTTGTACATTGTTGGACTAAAGCATGCCATGTTCTTCGTTCCTCCAGAAAAAGAATTTTTTATTTCAGAATTTTATACGGTTTTTCTTTTTAATTCTCAGTGGCTTACTACACATCTCAAATGTTACCCGAGGCGAGATTACTTCTATCAATAACTTGTTAGCTGTTGATGAGAAGGTGAAAGTTATGGTCGTGAAGTCAATGTTTCCTGACAAAATATCTCTCAGGTATGTTGTAGAGATAATTTGTTTGATTATGCTCTTGTCAATGGTAGGCATAAATGCACCTACATATTCCTTTTTCCATTTGTTAAGATGGTGTTTGTGAAGTACAGAATAGATGGGAATTGTGTCTTGTATGGAGTTAATGACACTTAATAATAAGAACTCCTTATATAGGAATCTTATGCCGCATATAATATGGTAAATAGTTATTTACTACTCTTAATGTGGTAAGTGAATATTCTACTACTAAATATAGAATATTCGACTGAATATCACAATATATGCTTCAACAAATATGGTTGTTACAGCATGTTACATTTTTTAAGGCTTTACGGCATGTTATCTTAGCTTGATTTTTCAATTCCTTTTTCTCGTGTACATCTCCTAGTTGGAGCCCTGTCCTACTTAGCATGTTGCTAACAAGAAATCAGGCTAAGATATTTTTTAAGTGGTGAGATATAAAGGCTCCTATCAATGGATTTACTAAGATATTCACTTCATTCCTGCATATGCTCAATTTGCTCCTTGCTTTCCACAATTAAATTTCTGAATTTAAATGAGATCAAATAATTGTCATGTTGATCTCCTGGAACAGGAAAATAGTTCGCCAATCTGATATCCTCTCGTTTTTGTCAAATGCAGTATTGCTGAACTTGAAAGCGAGCCAGGATTATTTTTAAAGGACAAGGAGGTGTGTCTCTCTTAAGTATTTCAGATTCAGAGCTAGTTTTAGTCTGTCATTCATCCCTTATATGGTGTAACACCGCATTTTACTGCAGCAGTTTAGACTCCACGTGACATCATAAATACAATTGTATAACACACGTACTTTCTTTGCTGCAGAAAGTATTCTCTGAAGCAAAAGAGATGGCGAAGAAGTACAGACAGAACCTACGAACTGTTTCAGCAACAAGGAAACCAGAACCCCTTCCGACTGATAGGCTACCTTTCGAAGATGAAGAAAGTCTATATGCTAATTGGAAATGGTTCAAGTTTGAGAGGGATAGCATATAAATGGCATAAACCAACACAAACTGTAATGAACTGTATATCCTTGGGTATGTCTTTAGGTCTTTAGATAGCATCCATGATAATTGTACCATAGTTCAAAAGCTAGTTATATTCTTTACTGAACTGAGTAATAAGTTCCACTGTTATTGAACTTTCTTTTAAGAACACCTTTTGAAGTTTCACATCTCTTTTGGAATAGGGATTTTTTCAATTCTATACACTATTGGAAACCTTATTACGGAAAATGTCCATGTTTTGATACTTACCTGACATAAACACATTTTAGTTACAAAATATATACAATCCATGTTAAAAGGCTCCTAATCCATTAATTGTGCCTTCAATCAAGGGATTTAGTTACACCATTTTCCTTTTTTCTCTCCTCTCTCCCCTCTTCTCTCCAGCAAACCGTTGTTTTTCTATGCTTCGCAATTGATCTGCGCTTGCGTGTTGAACATTAGTAAGTTCTCCGTATTTTTTCCCTTCCTCTTTTTTCAATCCGCTGAGGATTTTGTTGCTAAAATTCCTTCAATATTGTTGAAGATTTAACAAGGGAGTTTTTTTCTGGAGAAAGGAGGATTCTCAAAAAAACAGATTAATAACTAGGACTACAGGAAATTATCTAAGGCATTAGCTTAATTCAATTTCGATTGCTCCAAAGATCTTCACATAACAAATGTTTTATCTTCACCTTATGTCTGTTTTCTGCCTCAATAGGCTCCGTGCCACCACAACGAAGCAAATATAATTGGAGTTTCTTTCCATTTAACAATAAGGCCCTTTACATCCATATCCAGAGCGCAAATACTAGGGGTGTCAAATGGGCGGGTTGGGTCAATTTTGGGCGGGTCAAAATGGGTTGAGTCAATAATTGGACGGCCCAAAAGTTACTTGGGCTAAGATGGATTGGGTCAAGATGGGTTAAAATTCGTGTCATAACCCAACCCGCCCAACTCTTATTAAACTTTAATTAATATGTGTTATTTTCTTATAAATTGTATAATTACTAAATAAGGCTTTTTTGCTTTTGTTATGGTCATATTTAAAATATTAAACAAAAAATAAAATTATTTCTAAGATATTTTGACAAACGTACTCATGGATCAATTTGGGCTAAAAATTAGCCCAACTTTAAATGGGTTGAGATGGGTTGGGTCAAGATGGGCTAAGTTCAATAAATGGGCGGGTCAATAACCAATCCAACCTTGGACGGGTTCGACGGGTCATTTGGGCTTGGGCCAAATTTAACAGCCCTAGCAAAAACCATGAGCAGACTTGTCGGCCATTAAACTTCACAACATACTGTCGCAGTTCAAATCTCAATATCTCAAGCAAGAAACAATAAGTTGTTCAAGTTATTACGGAGTTTCTTTTCGTTTCCGAAAGAAAATACACTACAGTAATCCCCCATTTGACCAGGTATGTTCACCATTAAAATGAAAAAGAAAACACCTAAAGATCTTAAGCTAAACTCCAATCCTGGATGGAAGTAACAACCATTTTTGAATGCTAATAATATAGCTTATTCCTTTATTTTTATTTTTTATTTCTACCCAATTATATACAACTACAATATCATATCACTTAAATATAATTTGTATACAAATTTTATACAATATGTCTTTTATATATTTTGTATCTGATTTATACATAGTAAAAACAAATTTCATACAACTAATTATATATTATACAACTTATCTACAACTTATCATACATTATTTCTACTCAATTATATACAACTACAATATCATACCACTTAAATACAATTTCTATACAAATTTTATACAATATGTCTTTTATATATTTTGTATCTGATTTATACATAGTAAAAATAAATTTCATACAACTAATTATATATTATACAACTTATCTACAACTTTCATGCATTATTTCTACCCATTTTTATACAACTACAGTAATACCACTTAAATACAATTTTTATAGGAATTTTATACAATATGTCTTTTATATATTTTGTATCTGATTTATACATAGTAAAAATAAATTTCATACAACTAATTATATATTATACAACTTATAATACATTATTCTACTCAATTATATACAACTACAATATCATACCACTTAAATACAATTTGTATACAAATTTTATACAATATGTCTTTTGTATATTTTGTATCTGATTTATAGTAAAAATAAATTTCATACAACTAATTATATATTATACAACTTGTCATACATTATTCTACTCAATTATATACAACTACAATATCATACCACTTAAATACAATTTCTATACAAATTTTATACAATATGTCTTTTATATATTTTGTATCTGATTTATACATAGTAAAAATAAATTTCATACAACTAATTATATATTATACAATTTATCATACATTATTCTACTCAATTATATACAACTACAATATCATACCACTTAAATACAATTTGTATACAAATTTTATATAATATGTCTTTTGTATATTTTGTATCTGATTTATAGTAAAAATAAATTTCATACAACTAATTATATATTATACAATTTATCTGCAACTTATCTACAACTTATCATACATTATTTCTACTTAGTTATATACAACTACAATATCATAAACTTAAATATAATTTTTATACAATGTTGTTCAACTTTCATACAATAGATAAATAAATAAATAAAAATATAAAAACAACAGAATATAATTTTTCTAGAGTTTTTCTACAATTTCGTAAATATAATGTATTCATGTCGTCTTCTTCTTCTTCTTCTTCTTCTTCAAGTTTCAGTCTGAAATTCAGTCAAAACTACGTCTAATCTTCACCAAAACCCATCAAAATTGAGATATTAACTCCAAACCATATTCCCAATTGTTTGCAACAACACCCAATCCAAACAAATAATGGTTTTTGAAAACCCAAATTCGAATTCAAAGCTTCAAAACTTTTTAATGGCTGTCAACGGTGGAATTGTTGCTCTCTTTTCCTTTGCTTTACATTACTGAAATTAGGGATTGAGAGATAGAGAGAGACGTAGAGAGAATTTCCAATTCTTTGCAACAACACCCAATTCAAATAAATAATATTTTTGAAAACCCAAATTCGAATTCAAAGATTCAAATCTTTTTAATGGTTGTCAATGGTGGAATCGTGGGTGAGTACAAGATACGTGGGAGGAGGGGGGTGGTATGTGGAGAGAGAAACGTGGGGGAGTGGAAGATACGTTAGAGTAATTTAGGACACTAATTATTATCATTAATTCCCTTAGAATGTACATAAATGATAATTGGGTATATAAAATGTAATTATAGTAAAACTTGAGTAGAGAGGGTAATATAGTTTCATATAGTATATAGGAATGTAAAAATTCCTTTGGAATATCATGTTTTCGCAATTGGACTAATAGCCCGTTTGGCCAAGCTGCAAAAATCAGCTTATTTTGAGAAGTGCTTTTTTTTCAAAAGTGCTTTTTTCAAAAGTACTTTTGGTGAGAAGCAGTTTGTGTTTGGCTAATTAGTTTGAAAAGCACTTCTGAGCAGCAATTAGTGTTTGGCCAAGCTTTAAAAAACTGCTTCTAAGTGTATTTTTCTCAAAACTGCTTCTCAAAAAAGTGCTTTTGGAGAGAAGCTACTTTTTTCTGCTTCTCCAAAACTGCTTCTGCTTCTCCTCAAAAGTTCTTTTTTTCCTTTCAAAAGCTTGGCCAAACACCTCATTTTTTGGCCAAAAGTGCTTTTGGCAAAAAAAAAAAAAAGCACTTTTGGCCAAAAAAAAGCTTGACCAAACAGGCTATAATTTGAGTATAAGATTCCGGGGCATTTGCACTAATGGCCTTTTTTGAGGTCACTACTTCAGTTCTCCCCCTTAGTTCGGGGTTAAATCTGTCAGTCCGGTTACTTTTAAAGGCAAAATAGCGCTCTAGACTATCAGAGTCAGAATTTAAATAGTAGCCTCAGAAAGGCCAAATATTTTTAAGATTCTATCTTTGGGCCTTCAACCAGTTGGCTCATACAATTCATTTCCCACAATATTATAATGAATCAATTAATTTCTATCCTTATTCTCTCTCACTTTCTCTCTCTCTCAATCTCTATTCTTTCACCAATTTTTCTTTCCTCTGATCTTCTCTATTTTTTATACTTTCATGTTGTATATATTTTTAATGGAGTTCATCAATGTATTTCAATCGTTTTACTATAGAGTTTTAACTTAGCAATTCCTTGTCATGTTGCACAATTGATGTTCGAATTAAAATTGTCAATCAACAAATTTTGAAGATGTTTGATTCTCCACCATTGACAGCCATTAAAATGCTTCGAAGCTTTGTTTAATTCGAATTTGGGTTTTCAAAACTATTATTTATTTGGATTGAGGGTTGTTGCAAATAATTGAGAATATTTTTTAGAGTTTATATCTCAATTTTGAGGGTGTTTGGTGAAGTTTAGACTTGATTTTGGCTGAATTTCAGATTGAAACTCGAAGAAGAACACATGACATACAATGTACCTACGAAATTGTAGTAAAGTTGTATTATAATTGTATTCTGTTGTGTGTGTGTGTGTGTGTGTGTGTGTGTGTGTGTGTGTATATATGTTGTATGAAAGTTGAAAAATAGTTATATAATGTATGAATTGTTGTATAAAATTTATATTTAAGTTATCAATACTATATTTTTACATAAAGTTGTTGATATGTATTAAAATTGTATTAAGATAGTAAGTTTTGATTGGAACTTTAGAGAGGAAGAAGCACACACCATATACAAAATATATACAAATCGGATACAAAATATACAAAGACATATTGTATAAAATTTGTATGAAAATTGTATTTAAGTTGTATGATATTGTAGTTGTGTTTAACTGGGTAGAAATAATATATGAAAATTATAGATAAGTTGTATAATATATAATTAGTTGTATGAAATTTATTTTTACTATGTATGTTGTAGATATTCAAATTTGTATTAAATTTGTACGAAATTTATTTTTAATTTGTATGTTGACGTACCATATATTGTTCTTTTCTCAGTTGATTTTATCTTTTCTAAAGTCCGAGGAGATACTAAATTTTGTTCAGTTGCAACATTCGATGTAGGTTTTTCGTCGCATTACCTTCTCCTGGTTGTCCAAAAATTTCAGTGTTGTGTTTAAAATACACCAGCTATAGCATAACACAATGTTTGCTCAAGAACAGAAGTTCAACACAAGTTTCGAGTTTTCTAGCTAGTTGCTGGCCATTTC